CAATTTCTTTCACTGAAAAACAGATACGAAGTGAGTGAAGGAATCTATTGTGCTTCCAGACTGGACTTGTATACAGTTTTCTGTGGTTCGTGCTACTTTGACATATCAATTACGATTGCGTATCCGCCCTCTGTATTAAAAGCATTACGCGACTGTGTTCTCTGGCTCTTGGCTTGGAGCCTGCAACATCACGTCTGCGAGTGGTGCAGCTTGCAGCACTATAGGACATTTCAGTAGTTTCTGATTACAAAACGTGGCAAGCGGTGGTGAAAGCGTGCCCGACTCTGCTAAATGCCTTCGCATTCCCAGCAGGATCATCTCTTCTTTCCTTTTGGGTTGTGTCTTAATTAAACCGTGACAAGACAAATCTCCCCTCGCTGCGATGCCTGATGCGGGCGTCTGGGTGCCTGATGCTCCTTCCATAGCTTGCAGAGGATAATGTGGGCCACGTGAGATTAGAAGGACAGGCGAGCTCTTGTTTTCCTCCTGACTATAGAAGGTGATCGGAGCCGAATGGCTTCTTATGTAGACTTTTATGGCCACAAAGGTCTAACTTGAAACTGATGATCTCTGTGCCCGCTGGGGCTCAGATCAAGGTCTCTCCTGGAAACACTTTATCATCCCACATGCTCCTCAGTCAGACCTTTGACAAAGCCTTTGGTTTGGAAACCTGCTGGTCTCCCAACAGGGATGACATAGCCTATGTTGGTTTTCAGATCAGTCAAATATTCAGTTGCAATATGTAGAGCAAAATATAGTTTGTAGCAAGAAGCGCAGCAATGATTGACGGTACGCCCGCCATGTACTGCTGAGTGTCTGTTCTAGGAGAAACCAAGGAGTTAGGCCAAAAGCTTTAAAATCAGATGTTTTAATAATAGGTTCCTGCGTACTTCTGTATTTAGGCTGAGAGAGGCTCAAACGTTGCCTCTCAGAGATGCTGATTACAGGAATCCCATCCAACTCCTCCCTGATGATCAGAGAAGGAGGGACCTAGCACTGCTGAAAATTGTGTCCCTATCCTTGAATTTTTGTGCACCCAAACTGGAAGTTGTTGGATAACAGCTTTAATAAGAGGAGAACCAGAGAGCTTTTTTTTCAGTAACTTCCACAACAGATAAAGGATTTAGCTCTCAGACAATTTCTAGAGAAATTAAAATTAGGAATTAAGACACAACTCTGTCTAGAATCCTCTGATCTGTCAGAAAATCTCTTCTGGCTCTAGGTATTGCGATAGGTTACTGCTAAGCAATGTTGCTAACCTGTATTAATTTCAATTTCCCCTTGCAGTAATGCGTAGAAATCAATTCGGGATGGACATTTGCTGCCGGAAAGGATCCAGAAGCCCACTCCAGGAACTGTATAATCCCACCCAGGTGAGTGTCTCGTGGCTATGATCAAACTCACCAGCCCAGCGTACAAATACATTCTCTCTGGAAGGTATTTTGGTCTGTTTTTTCTCATTTATATGCAATAGGTGCCTTCAGCTTGGAGAACTGATACTGGGGCCTGTAGAGTTTGGCCATAAAGTTCTACAGTTTGAGCTAAGGGCCTGGTTTTTAACGGTTTTTAGTCATCTAATGATGTGGGCTACTCTAAATTTTTTTCTTAGGTACCTAAAAGCCTTAAAAATACTGCCTTTTAGATGTCGTAGCCAGAAGCCGAGGCATCATAATTTAATCTCTTGATTAACACACAGAGTAGCGCAGTGGGATGAGAGAATACGACACGATATACGTGAAACAAGGAGTGCGGTAAGACTGTAAATTGCAATAATAAGAATACATTAATAACATTTATATGGCTTTCGGGTAGCCAGCTGCCCTTCCTGTCTGGGCTCATTGCTTGTACAGAGTCTAGGCAATCCCAGTAGCTCACACTCTTCCTTACGTTGTGTGCTATTTAACACCTGATGGTCTTGGTGGGGGCTTAGGATAATCTAGGCTGGAGTTCTTCTTGTGACAAGCAGCGCAGGAAACCTACCTGAAATTTGTGCTCCCATTTGCTCCTCTCAATCAATTTATTCCCTACATGTGGGCTGAATTGGCACATTCAGGAGCAGCATTTCCTGTTGGCAGCCGAGAGGAAGTGCTGCCATTGAGAGAAAATGCCAGCTGACTATTAAACATATTTATTAAGGTTTAACAACCGCCTATTATATATTTATCCATCAATGAATACATTGAGTTTTACTAAATTGGCTATTAAAGAAAGTGACTATCCCAATAAATCTAACTTGTTAGATTTAACAAGGCAGTAAATGTTTTAAATACTATTTGATTATGAAGAGACTCACTATATAGTGTGCAAAACAAAGTCCAAGTGATTTAAAGTATTTATATGAAGAATTGACAACAACCCAAAGATACGCAATATCTGTTACGTAGCGCAGTAAAACTCCATTCGCTCGATAGTGTTGTTTTTATGAGCACAGGCTGACTTTCTAATTCAATTTGAATTCTGTGCATGGCTGGGAACATGAGTTTATCATACTAATATACTGGCCTTTATTGACCATTATGGGAGTTAGCATTGCGTGAATGGAAAGTGCATGTAAAAGCCCTGAAGAGGAACAATCCAGTGCTACAAAGGAAAAGTATTAGCATTTGCAGGTTAAATTTAAAGACTCTTTGCAGATGCTCAAGAAGCATGGGGAAGGGAAGAGAGGCTGGCTGACTAATTATTCTCTCTGGGGTCTGCTGTGTGTCAGTCAAAACCCCCTTGCCCTTTAATATCCGTTAAAGGCCATCCTGTAAGAAAGAAACATCCCTATCCATTGAAGGGCCGTAATCCCAGAGCCCTTGCAGGCTTGGTCAACTGAATTTTCCTGAGCTTCCTGAAGCAGGGGATGCAGCTGGCAGCTCCTTCGCTGCCTCTCCTTCCTTTCTGCATGCCCCGACCAAGCAAACCATTAACAGCCCTTTCTGGGCTCACCTACGAGCCAGCCAGAAAAGTCGATGTTTGAGGAAGCGTGGCAGTTCTTGCAGCTGATGTTGAACTAAGCAGATGATGTTTTTTACGCTGAAGTGTTTCCATCAGCTTGCTGACATCCGTTCTTATCAAGTTTTTAGTTTTTCTTTCTTTGCTTTTTGGATGGGGCTTTGCATGCTGCACTCACTCCTAGAGGGACTGGCAACGTCAGGCGAGCAAGTGCTTGCTTTTTATGAAAACAGTAACAAGCAAAGGTGGTGAGTAGAGGCTGCCGTAGAACACAGCAGATTGGAGATGACCCCTAGAATACTTCTTCAAGTATGTGGGTCATCTTTCTTTTCCATTTTCACCCAAAGAAACGTCTTCTCACCTTTCTTAGAGTGGCAGATTAGAGACTGGTTTATATTTTAGCAGTAGGGTGCTTGTTCCTCAAGAGTTCACCAGCAGTTGTGAGCGTGGGGGGATGGAGATCAGACCCCTAATCCTTCTCTGCAGTTCCTTGCTGAAGTAGTTGCGATCAGCCATTTGTAAAGTCAAGTCAGATGTCACTATATAATAAATGCACAATAAGATGTTTTTGGCCAAAATCTCTCTCTTACTGATCTAGATAATTGGAAACATTGGTTAGATCTTTAACCCTTGACCATCAGAACCTGCTGGACTCCTGGGGTGGTGAAGCCGTGTTTTTCTCCTGGATGCCAATGGCTGTGTGTGCCATCACAGGAACTCTTTAGCACTCAGTTTAGCTGCCTCAGAAGAATGGTGGAGGTGATCAAGCAGGTATTTGTAGTTCTCCTTGTAGTTCAAAGGAATCTGTTTAATTCAAACACTAGACTTCATCTGCTGAAAGATGCCCTGCAGCTATGGCTTTAGATTACGACAAACTGTGATTTTTTAAAGGTAGGAAACTTTAAATATTTAATGTGTCCATGTGCATGTTTCTTACATGATCTAGTATAACAGGAGAACGCACCTATGGCTCATCATCCTCTACGACAGAGCGCATGTGCTTCAGGTTTCCTCGCATAGGCAGCAGTGTGCAACCATGACTCCTGCTGTTCCTGGGAATGGCTCCAGGACCCCCAAGATGGCTGGGCAAGGGAGGGGACTGTATGGGGCTCCCTGCTTTGATACGGTATTAAGGGCTCATATGTCCTCACATGGAGCATGCTCCTGTCTGTTCCTTATCAGGGGAGATGAGAGTTTGGCGATAGGTTGAAATAGGTGCCAGATAGGGTCAATACTCAGATATAACATGTTGTAGTTTAATATGAATAAGGTTTTCCTACTGTGTGTTCTGCATCAGGTTGCACTGCCCTCATAAAACCCCGTTGGAGACAGGTTGATTTACACCAGCTGAGAGTTTGACTACGGGTATTTACCGTGTAGACACATAACAGCCTCTCTGGTCCTGCGCTGTTTTGTTTCCTTCTATGGAGTTGTTTGAGTTGTTTGCAGATGCCATCATTTGTCTCTTGGATCTCTTTTGGCTTGGTAAATGATTGTGAAAAGGAAAGGAAAGGAAGAGAGAGAAGAAGAAAAGAAAAAAGGAAAAAGAAAATGTGAAAAACAGAAAGGAAGATTTGGCTTGAGTAAATTAACATGTAGCAATGACCTGGACTGGTGCCTTGTAAGAGCTGAATGTTAGAATTGCAGTCAAATTTTCAGTGGACTGATCATAATTGTTCGTACATTCGGTGGAGAAGGAGAGGATAAATGGCTGGAGATAGCACTGAATTAGGGCCAGAGAAAGTGTCCATAACAAAGCCCATGTGTTATTCATGGCTTAGTTGAGTGTCTGGCCTTGTGATTATTGTAAAAGTCAGAACAATGCTTTTGCTCTTTTGCTTGTTGTAATAGAGCAGAATGTGGGAAGTGCATTTGTCTGTGGACAAAAGATTTCTTCTCTAGGGCTTTCGCTGCAAGATTTTTCATGAGCACTAATATACCATGAGGGAAAGAAAAGTCAATAAAACTGAACTGGATTTACACTGAGTAAGTGGATTTCCAGGCTGTGGCCTCCGCATACATGACAGGCAGTGTGCAGCGTGTCTCTGAGACCCTATTATCTTTTTTTTTCCTTTCATTTTAAGGTAGAGGTTTAGTAATAAGGTGCAGAGGTACCTGACGCAAATTTTGAGGGCTGAAACAGACCATTTCTTTAATGAGTTTATTAAAAAGCCAGTTAGGATCTGTATTAAGCAGAACTATTTTCTTTCTGCCACATAGTTGTAAATGGAAAGAGAAAGAGGATTCAACACACAGCAAGTAGCAAAGCAAAAAATCTAGACATAACTGAACACAGATGGAGAGCCTTGCAGGAATGTGACATAAGCTTGCATTGTATCTTGGGTGGGGTTTTTTTTTTGTATATGAAACCCCATGAATTTAAGAATATGGGTAGACAAATATTTGCAAGACATATTCTTAGAAGACAACATATGCAACTATATATTGTAATTTGCATGACTGAGTACAGCTCCACTGCTCCAAAAATAACAGATAATTGTGGGGCAGCCCATTGAGCTGGAGTCACTGGAAGTTCAGAATTGGGCAGCATCATACTTGAGGCTTACACATGTCAGTGGTTAACATTGATCTGTTTGGTGCAATGAAATTGCAAATGATTACAAGAAATTGCAAACCAAAATAGACCAAATGGTAAAGGATTGGGAAATAATTGCATCTTTGAAGTTAGAATTTGTCTTTTAGTTGTCAAGATTAACATTTAATTCTCATTAAATACAGGCTGCATCATTGTCTGATCTAACTGTCTAGACTGCTGAGAGAAACACAGCAGAGATCCAGTCCTTTATCCATTAGGATCCAAATCCAAGGATGAGTTTGTTTCAGTTTCTTGTTCGACATTGCCCGACTTCAATTTGTGAGTCAACTCGACTCTTTCACTGAAGGTCACACTGTTTGCCATTTGTTACTTGCCTTTTCAAACACCTTTCTTTTTGTCGAGGAGATTTATTTCTAGGTAGCTGCTTTTGGTGTAGCTGGAGTCCGGATGTCTGGTGATTTGGTAAATCTGCTGAGTCAGAGCTGTGGATGTCATGTCGCCTTTGTGTTATGAAATTGTATTGGACTGGTTTGGAGCAGCCATCACGAAATGGCCCATTTCTTTTATTACTTCTGTATTTTTTCTCCCCTCCGTCCCACCAAGTGAAAGGAAGAAAGTGAGCTGTTGCCTTGAAGATGGTGTTTATGCATCCTCAGTCACCTCAGGCCTCAAATGCTCCTTTTTTAGAGCTGCTGTGTGATTATCCGTGGCTCAGGCTGCCTGGATAGCATCAGCAAACATCAACCTGCTTCAGCCCACATCACTCAACTTTCGTCTGGGTTGGTAACTTCCTATCTTCAGTTGATTTCCACTCACTAGGATGACTCTGTGGGCAGCTGTACCAGTTCCTGGACAGAGGTTTGTGGTGAGCTTCGTGGT